TGATCTCCACCACTGTCTCCCAGGGAGTGCAACCATTTGGCGCATGAACTGGGAGCTCAAGCACGGCAAGAAGACGATTCAGTGCTAATTGTGGACGTACCGAAGCAGCTTCGAGCTCTTATGCTATGTGAATGTAACACCTCTGTGTGATTGTTTCGGTAGTCGTTCTCAAAAGAAATTAAAAAAAATCATGATCAAATAAATATATTATAGTTAAATAATATTTTTTTACAATAACAACTAAGCAACTATTTATTCTTCGATGATGATTCTCTCTTAGGTCCATATATTGATGCGATCTATGATGTTTCTTTCCACGGCTGGGATATCATTTAGAGGTTCATTCCATTCATAATTCAAAATATGTAACAAATATTGCCTCCTCGGTTCAAAGCCATCCTACATACTCCCTCCTTTTCGGTTTATAGGGCTTATCTCAAAATTTTAGTTTTTCCATTTTATAAGGCTCAATTTGGTTGTTCCCCATCACATGTTCAGACTTCAAGGTGCATTAAATCATTACATTCAAGTATTAAGAGAAAACTGACCAATGTATGCATGCATTGCAATTAATGCATTCGTAAACATAATTTTTTGAGGAAAACAAGAGCATTAATTGGATGCTTTTGTAAACTACAAAAAATATTCCACCACTCATCATCTACCTTGATTGGTGAGATTTTTGAATTGAGCCGTATAAACCGGAAAGGAGGGAGTATGCATTATACTCCCTCCGGTCCTTTTTAGTTCGCATATAAGATTTGACTGAAGTCAAGCCTCGTAAAGTTTGACCAACTTTATAGAAAAAAGTACCAACATTCACAATCTGAAATCAATATCAAAAGATGTGTCATGACTTAAAGTTTCATATTGTATAACTTTACCATGGCAGATGTTGATATTTTTTCATATAAATATGGTCAAACTTTGTGAAGTTTGACTTCAGAGAATTTTAATATGCAGAGTAAAAAGGACCGAAGAGAGTACAACATTGTTATAAAAACACATGTGCAGTGTGTATACAAATAAGCACGGTGTAAATATTCACCCTGTGTATTGAAAAATGTAGCACTCCATCGTATCATTACTGTATGAAATTAAAAACCAAATAAACGGGCAGAACACTGCATGTATGAAGTGCTACATTGTGCGTTCAATGATTCAATTAAAGTGTAATGCATTGACAAGATTCATATCTGTATGAGTTTGTCGTAACAACAGGAACTTAGCATCCTCATTCAAGGATCTCGTTCTGCAATGTAGGGTTTGCAACTTGCTGCGCAAGGTTTAAATTGTTGACCATAGCGGGTAATGGAAGTAGGTCCAAAATAAAGACAACTTTTTTATTTTGATCCAAGAGCAATAATAGAAATAGACCAAGAATATATCAAGGAAATAAAACCTGCAACAGTGCAAACATTTAGAAATACATTAATCATTCAGACCAAATAAATCATTTTTAATAACTAAGAATTAGAATCTTGCCATATCTCATTTGGAGATATGGTACTAATTCTAATTCGTTCAACACACAATGTAACATTTTGTACATGCAGTGATTTGTCCAGTTATTTGGTCTTTAATTCCATGCACTCATGATTCTATCGAGTGCTACATTTTTCAATACCCAGGGTGAGTATTAAACCATGCTCATTTGTGTACACGTTGCATTTTTTTTTTGCAATGTTGTATAATGCATATGTAGGATGGTTTGAACTAAGTAGGCGATTTTTGGTACATATTTTGAATTATGAAGGAAATGAAGCTCTAAACAATAGTCCAGCCATGGAACAAAACATTATAGATATCATCAATAGATGCACCTTGAAGAGAGAATAATCATCAAAGAACAAATAATATATAATGGTGCTTAGTTATTATTTTTAAATATTTTTGTAACTAATTACAATACATTTTTTTATGTGACCATGTAAGTGGATCATGTGTTACACGCGCGCCATGTTATAAGTTGTGTCGCCCAAAAACACCAACTGACACAGTTTTGTAAAAAGTTGTGCCTAGGGTCTGCAAGCATTATTTGTACCTTTCTAATTCGGTGAGTAATGTGAAGCGCGGCGTTTGTTCCTTCGGCGTGGATGCAGAGCGATGCGTGGAGTCCGCGGTTCCCTCTCTTGTGCCCTTATTTTCTTGATCAGTTCCTCGTACTCGTGGAACATGAGCCCTTTACTCCTGCATATGTTCAGGAAAAGAATGACATTGGAAATTATAATTATATACATATATGCAGTAGATGTTGGTGCAGGGTAGGAAACAAACTAGGAAAAAACCAAAGTGTGGATAGCTAAAAAAATCTCAAGGACAAAAAGTGTGAATAGTAACTTGTATATAGTGTAAATTTATAACTAAACTTGACCTTTTATTGTACTCATATAAAAAGTTTCACGAAGGAAATAAATTCCCGTTGACTTCAGGGAAAAAGCCAAAATCTCAATGACAAAAAGTGTGAATAGCTAAGAAAATCACAAGGACAAAAAGTGTGAATAGTAACTTGTATATAGTGTAGATTTTGATTTTTTTCCAGCAATAATACCATGATTTTTTTTAAATTTTATTTCAAAAGAAAATCAGAAATTTTTGACTTTTTTGTAGTCACTAATTTTTATTTTCACATAGGGTTTATATACACTTAGGAACCAAACATGCTTGTCAAACGGAGCTCTTGTATATACACGCACCCCCGCGCAACTTTGGCAGCCCCATTATCCAAGGACGAACAGTAGTTTTATATATTCAAAATAAAAATCATATATTTGGGAAACGTGTTTGCTCCAAATTTGAAAATCTTCGCGGATTTAAAAAATGTCTGCAACTTAAAATAATGTTCACCATTTTAAAATATACACTCCAGTTTTAAAAACATCGCTAAAAATAAAGAAAAATGTTCACAGATTTTAAAAGTACTCATGAACTTAAAATTATTTATTAAATACAAATGAGCATGATGTAAATACTCACCTTGGGTATTGCAAAATGTAGCGCTCCATCGCATCATGAGTACATGAAATTAAAAACTAAATAAGCCGATAGAGGACTACATGTATAAAATGTTACATTGTGCGTTGAATTAATCAATTAAGAGTGTAATGCATTGACAATATTTATACCATACCCATGTGTGTTTATCGGAACAACATGAAATTTGCACACACCGTCATTTAGAGATAGAGTCCTTCAATGCAAGGTTTGCAACTTGGAGCGAAAGGTTTAAGTTGTTAAACATAGTTTAACAATATTGTTCCCCAAAGTAGGTAGTTGAAACAAGTCCAAAATAGAGTCAGGCTTTTTTATTCTGATCCAAGATGAACAATAGAAAATAGCCCAAGAATATCACAAGACAATAAAATCTACAACGTTGCATATACATTTATAAATACATCAATGATTAAAATCTCACCATATCACATTGTGAGGTATGATACTCATTGTTATTAGGCCAGCTATCAAACAAATGTAGCAACCTAGCAATGTCCATATTTTTACGACAACTTGGGTCTCGTCCATACTCGGACATCGACAAAAATAATAATAACAAAACATTAGTAGAATGAAGCAAAATGTAACATGTGATTATAGTAACTTACACAAAAGTTCACCCCCCAAAAAAAACTTACACAGAAGTTTAGATTGATGTAGTGAACTGGAGTGTCTCTAACAACCTGTATGTCGTGATATGCTTATATCCACACAACAATATTAAAGCAATCAACATCCATGTATTCATCATTCTTTAACATATTTTTATTTGCCTCAAATTTAAAATAGTAGGATAATAATTAGAGATTTTCACCTATTCGCTCATGTGAAGTCGTGATTCTTCAATTATAATGACACAAGTGTAACTTATTAGAACACGAAATGAAGTAGAAAAGTGCGGTTTACTCAGTAAACAGACATTCATCAACCATATCGATGCACAAGCAAAAGTTCATCTATTAAGTCCTTGTTTGTTGGATTGGCACACGGTGAAAGGAGAAATGACTGCGAGTTGAGCTCAACTTCCGATGATGTGTTTGATGTTTTCAATTTCTTAGGGGATCTATCCAGAATCATATAATTCATGAGATATATGTCGTTTCCACCATCTTCAAGTCTCGATTTCCTATATTATCTGTCATTTTATTGGACCCGGAATTGAATGATCAGAATATCATACATTGAGACTTCAAAGATGATGAAAATAACACAGATCTCATGGATTGTATGTTCCTGATAAACTCCCGAAGAACTTTAAAACATCAAACACATCACAGAAGTTTGAGCTTAGCTCTCATTCATTTGCCCTTTCACTGTCTGTCAATCCAACAAACGATGACTTAATAGATAAACTTTGCTTGTGTATCAGTATGGTTGATAATGTCACTTCACTGTAGTAAGCCACTTTCTTCAGTTCATTTTGTGTCTAATAAATCACTCTTCTGTCATTATAATACCGATTCCAGAAGCAAATGAATGGAAAGTTCTAATACTTATCCTATTAGTTTAAATTTGAGACAAACAATAAACCTATATTAAGAATCATGAATACATGGATGTTCAATGCTTTAATATGGTTGTGTGGATACTAGCGTGCCACGACATCCAACTTGTTAAAGACATTCCCGTTCACTACATGGATCTAAACTTTTGTGTAAGTTACTATAATCACATAGTATTATATTTGGCCTCATATTTAATACTTTCTTGTTATTATATTGGTTGATATCCCACTATGCACGAGACCCAAGTCATCGTGAAAATATGGACATCGCTCGGTTGTCACAGTTGTTTGATATCTGACCTGATAGCAATGAGTACCATATCTCAGAATATGATATGATAATATTTAATTCTTCGTTTAGTATGAGTGGTTTATTTGGTCTTAATGATTGATGTATTTCTGAATGTATGCATCGTTACAGATTTTATTGCCTTGAGATGTTCTTGAGCTATTTGTATTGTTCATCTTGGATCAAAAAAAATATTGCCTCTATTTTAGACCCTCTTCCAATATCTACTTTGGGGAAGAATATACTCAAAACTATGGTCAACAATCTAAAGCTTGTGCTCCGAGTTGCACCCTGCATTGAAGGATCTCTAAATAGGGATGCACAATTCCTATGAATGTTGTCAATGCCTTTCAATCTTAATTCATTCATTTAACACATAATGTAATATTTCATACACCCAGTAGTGTGACGCGTTATTTGGTTCTCAATTTCATGCACTCATGGTACGATGAAGGGTTACATTTTCCAATACCTAGTGTGAATGTTTATACCATGCTTATTTGTATACACGTTGCACATGATTTTTATAACAATGTTGTATAATGCATATGTATGATGGTTTTGAACCTAGGGGCTATTTTTGGTACATATGTTGACATATGAAGGAAACGAAGTTCTTCAATACCCCAACCCTGCATTGAACGAAGCTCTTCAAGCGTTGCGTGCATGATTACTAGTAGAGATAAACAATTGATGTCCACAAAACAGATAATGATTCACTCATATATAGACGTACCATGTTAAAATAAGATCACATTGGTGGTAATATAACTAATGTTCTTACGCTTGGTAGGAACCTACAATTTGCAAATTGCATCAGTCCAGTCAAATATGCAACAACACAATAAAATGATTAAAATCAGATCAGCAAACAACATGCCAGGTTATAAGGTTTTCTTTTCGCGAATAGGCCAGGTTATAAGTTGTGTGAATCAAAAACGCCAGCAGAGACCGTTGTAAGAAGTTGTGCCTAGGGTCTACATGCATTATTTGTACCTTTGTAATTCAATGAGTAATGTGAAGCACGACGTTTGTTCCTTCAGCGCGAATGAAAAGCGATGCGTGGAAGCCGCAGTTCCCTTTCTTGAGCCCTTATTTTCTTGATCAGTTCCTCGAAAGATCGAGGTATATAGTGGTACTCGTGGAACATGAGCCCTTTACTCCTGCACATGTTCATGATGAGAATGAGACTAGAATTTAGAATTGTACATATATATTCAATGCAGAAGATATTGATCAGGTGCGGCTGTGCAGGGGAGGAAGCTAACTAAGAGGGAAAACATACCACTCGCGAGGATTGCAGTAGGTGATAAGATGATCAACAATGGTGAAGGGGCGCACAGAGGGGCGGATCCTCTCCTTCCCGTCGTGTATCTGGCAGGAGTCTGCCAGTCGCTCGGACAAACCAGTCCCCAGCGAGAGCACCAGAATGGGGTACTGTGGTAGAGTGAAGTAAATGGAGTTGCTGCTCAAAGAAGGTAGATCCCTGGCTGAAACAGACAGGCATCGGTCGCCGCTGAGAAACAGCGCGGTGTCACCTATGTTCTTCACCGGGATAAGCTTACGGCGTTGGCTGCCGTTTAGATCCACCACGTAGAGCCTGCAGACCAGTCGTCGCGACCATTCCAACGCATTCCATTCTGCCCCATTCGCATAAGGAGCTGGCTGCCGGACGGCGAGCAGCATCCTTCCACCGGACTCCGCGAGGTAAAAAGTACAGACTTCGCGGTCGGCGGAATGTGGAGCGTGAGCAATCACGACATGGTTCTCCAGCGGTACAGCTTTGCGTCTCGGAGGGTATAACTGCACGATCTCGCTCGAGCACGACATGGTGGCGTAGAGCCTTCCTTGGAAGGGCAGGGCGCACCCGACGTAGAACCCTCGGTGGAGGACCTCCCAATCCGACGAGCCCGGGTCGGCGGCGAGCACCACGTCCGTGTAGGGGAACCAGACCACCACGGAGTCTGCGGAGGAGGAGGACGCGCTGCTGCACACCGCGGCGTTCATGTCGAGCAGGGACGCCTTCTGCCTGACCACCTGGAAGTACATGGTGAGGAGGGGCGGGAAGTCGACGGCGTCGCGCGTGAACGGGTGCAGCACGCGGACCGCGGTGGTGCGCTCGTGCAAGAGGACGACGAGGCCGTCGGTGAAGCCGACGACCCTGTGCAGCCGGAGCTCCGGCAGGGGGACGCGGAGGCGCCTGGCCGTGCGCGTGTGGAAGAAGGCGATCTCGCAGGCGCCGTCCGGGCGGACGGCGTCGCCGTCGCAGAGCGCGACCCAGCCGCGCGGGCGGAGGCGAGGGTCCCGCAGGTCGGAGTCGCGAGGCGCGGGCGTGCAGGCGCGCCAGTAGGAGCAGACGGCGCGGAAGCAGATGTAGTCGACCACGTCGCCGTCGCCCTCGCCCAGAAGCCGGCGGGTGACGAGGCCTACTATGTCCGTGGGCAGGGACGCCCAGCCGCCGGCTGGCTGCGCCGGTGCTCTGCGCTTGCACGCGGGCAGCGGGGCAAAGGTGGATCCTTTTCGCTTCCTTCCTGCCGCCGCCGCCGCCGCGGACGGAGCAAAATTAAGGGTCAATTTCCTACCCATCCCGCAAGTATGCCCTGCGCGTTGCCTCTTGCCTGCCGCCGCTCTATTTCTGTCCTTTTAATGACCCTGCGCGGTGTCTGTAGCCCGCTGGGTCGGGCCTTTCTACGTGTCGTCACTTGGTCCAACTCCAACACTAGTTTTTTTTATTTATAAATTGTTCATTCAAATCACGAATCAGTACAGAGTAGGTGACCCTTACAAGCACACTAAAACGCAAAAACAAAGAACCATGAACACCTAGAGTACCCTAAAACAACCATAACATAAGAAGATCTCCGGAGCACTGTATCATCATCCCTGAATCTTGAGAGAAAACCCCTGCAGCAGAAGGATATACAACCTGTCGCAAACAGGTCATCATCTTCGACCACAGTACAATTGCCGTCACACTGCTTTCTCCTTTCTTTGACACCATCGCTGAGAGGGCATGGACATCAATCCAACACACCTGTAACAGCCGTCGCCATCTTTGGCTTTGAGTACCGCGAAAAGTGTCCCTTCCGGAAGGAAGAGAACTCGAGTCATCCGACCGGTCCAGCACGGCGGCCGGGCCATCCACCCGGGCAAAGCCGGATCTCCCACCAGCATCAACGCAAAGGAAGGAGAAGAACAGCAGCAGCAAATCGTACCAACAAGGAAGAAGAAAGGTCTTCGTCTCCCTACCTCCATCGCCCATCTGAGGATCCAAACGGCCAGTGCTGATGGACCTCCAACCACCATAGCCCGCGACCTCAACGAGATCCGGGGATCCCCAACACCAGTGGCTCTTAGACAAAGGCAAAAGCCTCGCCTGAGCGCGAACGGAGCCCGGAAAAACTTATTCCGACGCGACACCACCGCAACGGCCTCGGCAGCGTCTCCCTCAACCCTAACCCTACCACACACCAACCTAGCGAACAGACCCGAGGTTTTCCCTCCCTCCCGCTGTCGGAGCGGCTGACGGAGAGAGAGGGAACCGGCGGCATCACCGGCGGCGCGCAAGGGACCCCTAGTCGCCTCCTTGATCGCCTCGAGCGATCCAACTTTTCCAGGCGTGCGGTTGCGTCCCTTTAAAAACGTAACTCCAACACTAGTTGGTTAGAATTTTACGGCACTTCATTTTTGTTTTATTTTCTCAGGTCAAAACGCATACATTTGTTTACCCTAAATGCTAGATAGTGCAAACGTATTATTCGCGAAGCCGAGCGAACGCATGCAGGCCTTCCCATGCCTGCATGTGATGATGCATGTGACTTTTTAGCACAGCAGGTGGTGGCACTGTGTGGGGATTGCACCCGCGTGCATGTGGATAGCCAACTCCGTGTGCTCATGCATGTGCACAAAGACTTAGAGACTTTTCAGCTGTCATCGATAAAGTAAACCGGTTCCATTAAAGTAGTGATGATAACGGTGCGTTCGCAACTCGTTCTGATGGTAGTGGTGGTTGTTTAGTGATCTTGGAGTCTTGATGCAATTTTCGTTATGTTTGAGATACTTTGTACTTCTAGTAAATTTTTAGGATATGAAGCATTTTTGAAAGAAAAAAAACAGATTAGTCATCGCCATATAAAATTAGTGAGGTTGTGTGACGGGCCCTTATGCAAAGATTGTGGTACATTGGTAAAAGTTGACACGTCGATGTTTTCTTAAAGAATTTGGTCACCTTGTGGATCATAATCAACTTCTATATTATGAGAGGTGGTGATAAGAGAAGTATTTGGCCCGGGAGGGCGCACGAGCCGACAAGTGGACCCTGCCCCTGACGTTCCTCACTCAACTGACGCCCTGAGGGGTCCAAGACGTACGGGTCGATGGCGCGCTTGGGGCTACCTCCTCTGGCTGGTGTTGCCTCATCCTACGTTCGCGGTCGTTGCGTTTCAGTGACATGAGCCTGACATGTGGGCCGCTGAGCGAAGGTGTGCATGCTTCCTTTCTGCCAGTGGGGCTGATGGGGCGTTCTCGTGCAATTTGATCGTTTGTCCTCGTAGGGATGTGGAGGAGGGATTCCTGCCAAATCCTATTCGGCGCCCGTTGCGCCCGATACAGCTA